TTGGCTTGTTGCCTGTGTACCTTTCATGGGGGGAGATGTCGTTGGGGAGCGCTGCATGAGGAGAAACGTTCTTTACAAATGTGGCGTGTTGGATAGCGTATGGCCAAGAGGTACGTCCAATTTTGGATTCGACGCTTTTCAGCATTGCGACACTCATTGACACAAGGGTTCTGTTGACTCTTTCCGCTACACCGTTTTCCTGAGGCATTCGAGGGTTGGTCTTTTCGTGAAGGATGCCGAGGGATTTGAGATAGTTGGAGAAATCGGAAGAGAAGTACTTGCCGCCGCCATCTGTTCTGAGAATCTTTAACTTATTCCCAGTTTGACATTCAGCTTCCGCAAGGAATTCTTTGAACTTATCGAGTGCGTCGGATTTGTTCTTCATTGGATATACGGTGAGGTACTGACTGAAGTCATCGACGAAAGTAATGAAGTATTTGTAGCCTTCACTCGATACTGTTTGCAGTTTGCAAACATCAGAGAATACACGACCAAGTACTTGGTCGGAGTGGGTTTGTGTTTCGGAAGGAATGGGGTTTCGGTGATGAGATGCGGCTTCGCATTCGGGACAGTAAGTTGATCGATCAGCGTCGTTTGCTCCTATAACATCCATTCCCTCAACCATTCCACTCTGCATCATCCTCAAGATCGAATCTTTTGCGATGTGCCCCAATCGGGCATGCCAGATGTCGAGGGATGCAGTAGCGGTGATGGTGCATGCGACGTTAGCGTTGTCGGTATAGGGGTAAGTGATGAAGGCTGTGGATAAGGAGGGGATTCTCACTGGCCATCGGTAGAGGCCCTTTTCCACAGGCACGACGGTGACAAGTTTCTTGGAGGAGTCGAAAATTCGACATTTTTGGTCCCAGAAGTCTGCACCTGCACCCGATTGGTTTAGTTGGAGAATGGAAAGGAGGTTGTGTGCAATTTTGGGGCAGTAGAGGACGTTACGGATTATGAGGGTTTCCTGTGAGTTCCCGATGTCATACTCTACTCTTATCTGTCCAATCCCCGGCGCTAAAATCACATCCTTATCTCCCAAAACGACCTTTTTAGGGACATCAAGAGGGTGATAGGATATAAACCAGTCACGATTGCGACACAAGTGAGAAGTGGCACCAGAGTCAATCACCCACTCAGTTCGAGCATGATGATCAGGAGTAATCCCCGCGTTTAGCGAGTTGAGTGTGTTTGCTACTTCCTCCGTCGTTTCAGTTACCAAGGCTTTCTCCTCATCCACAAATGTTATTGCCGTCTTCGCAGATTCTTTCGGAGCGCCTGAGCTCTGACCTTGTTTCCCCTGCCTCCTCAGTTTCTTTCCCTCGGACCCACCACCTTCCGACCAACATTGTTCGAACGTATGTCCCAAGTTGCCACATTTAGGGTTAGTGCAGCGGACTACCGATTTAGGGGTGGCAGCGTCAGACTTGGAGCCACTGGACTTCCCTGCATTGCGGCGTTTGGATTTGCCAGAGTTAGCAAACATGGCAATAGTCTTTGGGTCAGAATTACGGAGTTTCTCTTCCGAAAGGACATAATCGATATACCCTTCGGAATCGATGTTGTTCCTCTTCATTTGCATGAGGGCAACGCTTTTGTGAGGAAATTTGTATCCGGTGCGACTACTGGACTTATCCGGAGCTCCAAATTCTTATGACGTAAACCAGCGTGACTGGACAAATGACATAAAATGGACAAGCCTGGTATCGAACCCAGGACTTCTAGCGTGCATCCATACACTACTCGCCCGTTATGCCAGGGGGGGGGTACCCCTTCCCTGATGGTTTGGGAGATCACTTGATCCCTTCCTCCAACATTTTGATGGTGTGGTAGGATTCGGGGGTGGCAGAGATGAGGGCAGAGAGGTAGCTTTTGTCTCCAATTTCGAGACCTAAGGAGGTGACCTTGAGGCGTGTGTCTTCCACTTCTTGGAATTGGGGACCCAGTGGTTTAGAGTCATCAAAGTGAAATTGGAAGAGGGAAGAGTGAAGCATGTGCATGTCTTGTTCATCCTTTCCGACAAATCGGTCAGAGAGGGCTTTCCAGGCAGCATGCGCAGTAGGTTTGTTCCTCATCATGGACAAGCAGGAGTCACTAACATAGCACCTCAAGTAGGTGAACACTCTCTCATCTTTGTCGAGCCAGTCAGCTAAGGTCGGATCAGTGTCCGGGGGCCTTTCAGTGCCGCCTTTTGACACATCTTCTACGACATCCCAGATCCGGTTTATCTTCAAGACACTGCGCATCCTTGATGCCCAGTTGGAGTAAGTTTTACCATCGGCGTCTAGAATAGTTATGGGGAAACGGGTATTGTCTGTAGTGGTGGGGGCAGGGGCTGGCTGAGAAGTGGAGGGGGTAGTCTGCGACATGGGTGAGTTCTGAGTGAACTAGGCTCGTAACCTATTAGGATGTTAGCGATTTACGCTAGCGTTTTACGCTCAGTCAATCGTTGTTGAACTTATTAGATTGGAACTAATTACCTAGCGTTTTACGCTAGGGCACATGAGGGTACATGAGTGACAAGATAAATGTGTGGTAAAAGCGCAGTCTCACCTCAGTCAATCGTTGTTGAACTGAGGGAGACGAAAGTGAAAAATTGTTCACTGCTTTTATAAGCAGTCGCCTCAATGGCGCACTGACTTTGGTAGCAGGAATACCAAGAAAGGAAATATAGCGCCGCTAGCTCAACATCACATTGTGAGTTGGCCACAGCGCACTATAACTCCCAAGAAAACCAAGATTTCAACATTTTCGTCCGATGGTTCAATGATGTTCTTATCATGCTGCGGCACCAATCGGAAGAACCAAGGGAGTTCTCCAAAGGACCGGGCTCGCTCAGTCTATACCTGGTGGATGCAAGGTAACCTCGCCATCCTATGGCAAAACAGCACGAATCTGTGATGTGGTGACCAGAGAAGAATCGAGGCTCTTCCAAGGAAACTTTAGTGACGTTAACACAGTCTCCTTCTCGCCTGATGGATTCAGGATACGTTCAGCGTCCCATGATCAGATGGTACCAATATGGGATACAGTGACTGGGAAGAACTCAAGATCCCCAGAGACGCATGTATCAGGCGCTGGGTTGATTCAAGACTGTTTCCGGACACCGCATCCCGCAATTATACGGTCCATCCTAACCTGGAACTCGATGGCCAAGTGAGCCCCATCTACCTCTGTAAGAACTCATTTTCCAACCCAATTGCCAACCCACCTTTTTCTTTCTTGGGAAATGCAGAACCCCTCATTTCATTGCCTCCACTACGGAGATTTCACAATTGCCTGTTGGTACGCATGACAGAAAGTTCATTATTCGAGTGTGCCGGGTTGTGTGCAACATGCAACAACTTGATTTTGGGCTTATCAAAAGACAAACGATAGCTCTGAACCACTCAAGAGCTGACTTGCGGGGCTGCTCCATGTGTATTTGTCTACGTTCCCTCGTCTCGAGATGCAATTATGTAAACTCTGAGGATTCAACTAAGCGACTGGTTGACTCATAACGCAGCTTGTGCCGCTTGGCGCATCTGTGTCGGGCTGACTCACGTCCCATGATTGGCGGTGTCGGGTTGAATTCTCCCCTTGAAGCAATCTTGCTTGTTCTAAACTGCACTGGGATGTATAATTGGTTTTCGCGACAATCTTAGCGGGCTGACGCCCCTGCTCATCGTTTGGACGTTGGGAGGTCGCTGACCCGAGGGACAGTACGAGCAGTTGATGACTGCTTCACAAAGCTGCCATCACTAATCAGCATTTTGCGCGAAAGCCAATAACGGGCCCGAGGACAGGGGGACAAGAAGGTTTGCGTGAAATGGGGTCAGGATATACGAACGATATGTATCAGCATTCCAGCCTCTGTGGCTTCGTAATATCAGCATGCGCTCTGGCAGCAGCATTCATGGCGCCATGTACGATGAGCAATGTCTATGGGTGAGTCAACCTCCCATACGTCATACCTGGATGACCCGGATCTTGATACCTTGTTCGGTGTTTTGCGGGGTGCTTGCCTCCTGACCAATCGAATGGACCACAGGATAGGTGAAAACGGTTTAGGCATCAGCGGCTGCTAGCCGAGCCCACGACCGTTGGTAATCAGTACGCCGGAACTGGATAGCCGCTCTGCCATGTGGACACTTTTGAGTCTCCAAAAAAGGCAGGCAACGCTTACGTAATCATGATTTGCTTTACGACTGGGCAAGCGCCAGCTACCAATCTCTTTGCAGGGCGGTACCGTGACTCACTGCACAACTTTTATAGGAGAGGTATGGTATTCCAACACCCTCTGGACAAAAATCCTCTTGGCATGGCTTAATGCGACTCGGAGCCCATCTGCCTTTGGAAATCGATCTCCATGTCTCATATATAGAACACTTCCCCCGGTTGTTTTCCTTTGCCACCCTCTCATTATCTGTCGTTGGTGACTTGAATCGAAATGAGGAGGTGCGGAACTGCATCCAAATGTTATGAGAGCGGAAGGATGGGCTGGTTTCTTCCGTGCTTCTCTCTGATCCGGGCGGCTCATCTGGTCCAACCGGTGGCTTCGTGCCGTACGTTATCGTGACGTCTCCCTGGGCTATCGACCATTTATCAATATGGATTTCTTTTGCGTGCGTATATTCTTTGTGTTGGATTCTTGCAAGGGCCGCAATCTGATCAGTTCTACGGGTCCTTGCAAGATGGGTTGTAAGCTAGGCTTACTTTTTGGATTTATAAGCAATGTGGCGGCGCCGTCATACAAACACACACCCTCCGCTCTGCCCTCTCGCTAGCTCTGCAATGAGTTCATTTCTCAAGGCCCAGCCAATTAATTCACCTGCCATATATACAACTGACCGAGTTTGCCAAGTCGAGTCCGACGCGCTCAAACCCACCACTCTTGATGGCAATCAGTCTGACACACTTCGAACTTTCAGCCCCTTCGAGCGCACATAGTAACAATTCATTCGACAGGAATGTATGTTGTTTGTCGAGATAATAGCCTCAAATCAAAGCTTGTTGTGTCCGGCCATGCATATTGAAGCCCAAATCACTCCACAGTTGAGCTGGCTTCTCTAGTTCTCGACTTCCACACCCCTCCATGGTACATCGGTCAACGTGGTCCTGCCGATTGAGTATTTCCGTTGCATCAACATTCGTCCCCCATTAAACTTCAATGTCGTCGCTTATGGTGGTAGGCAGAAACATGGACAAGTACATCGGTGGTGAGCGACGAGAAAGAAAATGTGTCAGATAAAGAAATGAATAACCCTGTATATTGAGATTATAACTTGCGACGGTGATCTGTTATGTGTGTAGCGACTTTATCCATGGTGTCCAATAAAAATTGAGGTTGGATTTGTTAGTGTTCTCCATGAGCATGTAGCAAAGAAGCGCAATGACAAAGGGACATGAGAGGAACCACAGGACTTGGGTGGCTCAACTGTGGACCATTTGTGCCTCAGAATGACGTCCGAGATCGGAAAGAGCGTTGCGAAGATTCCTGAGTGAATTGACCAATTGTGGGGTGTATGCTCCTGGGTTGATTTCAGCCAGCTGGCGCCGGATCTTGACGCTTTCTTCGATGAATGGGAGCACCTCCGAGTGCCGTCCGAGTCTGGAAAGAGCAAAATATAAATTGTTGAGTGACATGGCCAAATCTGGGGTGTATGATCCTGGGTGAACAGCAACCAACTGGCGGTAGAGGCTGACACTTTCTTCGATGAATCGGAGCCCCTCAGAGTGCCGTCCGAGTTTGGAAAGAGCGTCATAGAGATTGTTGAGTGACATGGCCAAATCCGGGGTGTATGATCCCGGGTGAACAGCAACCAACTGGCGGTAGAGGTTGACGCTTTCTTCGATGAATGGGAGCGCCTCTGAGTGCCGTCCAAGATTGGAAAAAGCGTCATATAGATTGTTGAGTGACATGGCCAAACCTGGGTTGTGTGATCCCGGGTGAACAGCAACTAGTTGGCGGTAGAGGTTCAGGCATTCTTCGATGAATGGGAGCGCCTCTGAGTGCCGTCCGAGATTGGAAAGAGCACCACGCAAGTTGTCGAGTGAGATGGCCAAATCGGGGGTGTATGATCCCGGATGAACTGCGACAAGCTGGCGCCGGAGTTTGACGCTTTCTTCGATGAATGGGAGCGCCTCCGAGTGCCGTCCGAGTCTGGAAAGAGCAACAAATAGATTGTTGAGTGACATGGCCAAATCCGGGGTGTATGATCCCGGGTGAACAGCAACCAGCTGGCGGTAGAGGTTGACACTTTCTTCGACAAATGGGAGTGCCTCCGAGTGCCGTCCAAGATGGGAAAGAGCGGCACGCAGATTGTCGAGTGACGTGGCCAAATTCGTGGTGTATGATTCCGGGTGAACAGCAGCCAGCTGGCGGTCGAGGTTGACGCTTTCTTCGATGAATGGGAGTGCCTCCGAGTGCCGTCCGAGATTGGAAAGAGCATCATATAGATTGTTGAGTGAGATGGTCAAATCTACGGTGTATGATCCTGGGTGAACAGCAACCAGCTGGCGGTAGAGGTTGACGCTTTCTTCGATGAATGGGAGCGCCTCCGAGTGCCGTCCAAGTTTGGAAAGCGCCAAATACAGAGCCCCAAGTGACGCGGCCAAATACAGGGAGTAGGACCCCGAGTCCACAGAAACAAGGTAACGGCAGAGTACAACGGAATCACTTGCCGCCTCATATGCCTCCTGGAATCTTGCAAAAAATTTCAAATTCCGTACAAGCTGGACAAGCATGCTGGCCAGTGCGCGGACAGCACCTTTTGACCTGTGACCAACAGCCAACTGAAAGATCATGAGCTGTCAGGCAGTTTCATTAACACGATTGATAAACCACACCTTAGCCCACTCAGGGAGTAATGAGATGCTAATGTAGCCCTCCATTCTCACACAGGCTTCCACCCAGTGAGTTGCTTGCTCACTGAGAAACACGCCAACTGACTCATCAAGTTCCTGTGATGGTTCCTGGACTCCACTGAGGTGATGGACAATATAGCGACATGCATAATGAGAGTGCTCGGATGACTCCTCCGAGGGAATGAGCGGTAGCTCATCGGTTTCGGACAGGTTTTCAATCAGTCCCAAGCCCTTTACAGAGCAAAGATCCTGATTCAAAATCTGGGTACATCGCAGGGCAACTCTCGCATTCTCCATCGCTACATCTACTAGGATGCAACGAGGGTTGATTGATGGGGGATCGATCCGATCGACAATGAAGTCGCGGAAAGATTGGTGCAAGATGCGAACCGGAAAGTGAGAATCCTCAACTCCTGAGAGTAGAGGAGCAAGTTCAGCCAACGAATATCGAACGGGAGACTTAAGGAAAGGTGACAAAATTGCATCCCAGGCTGTGATAGACAGAGGCCGCTGTGCGACAAAGATTGCTCCCATCACAATTGGGTAGTCATGGGCAAAATCTTCATCCTCCCAATCGCACTTCTTCAGAATGCTTGTATATAAGCGGTCCATCATTCCCTCGGCAGGGACCTTTGATCGTTTCGTGCCAGTGTTGAGCAAGCCCTCTAACGTCCTCATCGGATCCTTGTTGGCTGTCTTCATGTAGCGAAAGATCGTGCTGATCCAAATAAACAAGCCACCCGCACGTTCTAGGATCTCCTGAACTGTTTTACCCTCGTCCTGAAGATTATGCCGTAAATCGGGATGCCAATTCTTCAGCTTTTGCAGCTCAAAACGTATATATGTAGCACAGTCCTGCACGTTTGTGTCATCCGAAAGGTCAATAGCGAGACGACTGATAGGGAATTGGGGTGAGAGGGAGCGTCTAACAAGATCTGTATGTCTCGATGTGATAATGAATTTTATGGAAGATGGCAGCCTGGGCACTTCATCCCGAAGAATATCGGCAAAGGACTCGAACACTTCCTTGTCACATTCATCTAATGCATCGATGATGACCACCATGGGACGGTCGGGAAGTGGAGGTTTATGGAGGAGAGGCACAGCCACTAAATTCTCGAATTGCTGCGCAAGTAGGGCCGTTGAGAGGGAAGGGTCTTTTCGAAGTGCAGATATGATGAAAGTACGGTAAACCGGGTCGTGGTCTGCTAGAGTTCGAGCTATACCACTGAATAGAAAATCGGGCCGCGACCGTTCTCCCGCTTTGAAGAAGAAGTGAAGTAACAGCGTAACGTCCCCTTCACTGGCACATCGTCCCGCTATCGTGAGTGCAATTGAAGTCTTGCCAGCACCAGCCACAGCAGTCAGTAGCATTAGCCGATTCTCACTCTCCCCAGTGTTGCGACACCATGTCATGATACGCTCCGTGAGATCGATCCTGGTTCCTTCCAGGCACGCATGAGTGAAATCATCATGGGCGATATGAGGGTATTGGAGACTATCGAGGATCTTGTCGTCCTGTAGACGACGTTCTATGGCCGCTAATTTGGCACCGCCTATTAGATTCGTCCTAAGCTGCATCAGCCAGAAGTCAGGATGATGATGGAACGTATGCTGTAAGGAAAGCTACCTGAAACGACGCCAATGCTTTGTCAAAGTCTTTCTTTAAGCCATCAATTTTTCCTGGGTCTCTCAAGTAAGATATAACATTTAGGACAGCCGGTCGCTTCTCTACTTTTTTCAGTCTTTGTTCGATTTCGGACTTGATGTTTTGTAGCGCCCTGAGACTTGATGTAAGTGACGATATCAAAGACCACCAAAAACGCTGAAACTACCTCGGCCACGGTGTCGACCACGTATTTCCCAAAATCAGTCCATTCCTGCTTATTGTCCTTGAACTTCTACACGGCACAATAAGCTTCCATTCATGGTCAGGCAAAAAATCATTGCCAACCTTAACCTCGTCGAGGATGGAGAGTGCACCGCCAGTCGCCATCTTTAAGGGGGGGACACCAATCAGCCGTAGCATTGACAACCTTGAGAATTGGGACGGCGATGTCGACTCCCTCCACGAGGAGATCATCGATCTTTTGCCTGAGAGCTCCAGCCCTTTGCTGCATCGACATGGTCGATAGTGGACAAGGTGACGGAGAAGAGGGAGCTTTGGGCACGCGACGCACGTGTGAGCCACTACATGCTCAGAACCACGAGGCCTTCGTCTGTTTATGGAAGGATGAGGAAGGGCATCACGTATGCATTTGGTCGACAGCATACGGACATCTGATGCAATATCAGCGACAGGTAGTCCGCGCATGGCATGACTCTGACTGGTTAGGTAACCGGGACGGATGATGGCATTAGGTAAGTCCTGGCTTATCCACTAAGAGAGAAGAGCTACAAACAGGATGAGTATAAGTAGGCGAACTCGACCTGCACTTCGCTTCATACCGAGGGCCGGCAGTAAGCGCCGGTGTGGCTCATCACCGACTTCCCATGATCAGATTTTCTGGATGCAAGGAAGTGGTCGTCGGCTGTGCGTCAAAGCCTATCGGAGTGGTTGTATCGTTCTCTGCAACCCACTTTCCTTTTCCGCCGCGCCGACAGTGGCCTGAAATTCTACAAGGTCCATGACCCACTGCGCACCATACTCAAGCATCATGATCTTGGTTCTGGACTGATTTCTTACTTTCTGTATTCCGCCTGCCTTTGGCAACTTCAGTGTCAGGTCTTTGCCTTGCTGCGTTGCCAGTCAAGCCTGTGCCCTCTTGACATCTGGGTCCTCAAGGTGGCATGTCCCTTTCCTGTTGCCTCCCTCAATTGGGAAACTCTCATACACTTTCGCTGCCCCTCTGGTTTCTAGTCTCTCTCGAGATGCTTCTAGTGCCCTGGCCCGGATGCGGGATCCAGGCACGAGTTCAAAAAGAAATAACTGGTGGGGCGCTGCCTGAAGCGGCAGAATCCGCCACGCAGCGGTGTGAAGAGGAATGACATGGTCTCCCTGATAGCAGTTAGAATGACGTCGACCCTGTGGTGCCAACATACCTCACCGGTTGAACGTCTGTTGCACCTTGTCCAACGGGTTCTACCTAGGAACATAATATTTTCCAGAGCCACTAAGATAAGAGACGTCTTCCTCTCCCTTCAGGATCCTTCCCACTTCGAGTGTACTCGTCCCTGTAAACCCATCCTGCTATGACCTCATGTCTGATAGGTGGGCCAGATGCTGCACATACGTGTGGCAAATCCCAGTGTATAAGATTTTGATTCTTCATTTGCTTTTGGTGGGTCAGCCTCAACATCCTCGACAACTGGGAGTTCCTTTGCAGCCTAGATTTCGCTGTAAGCCGTTGGACTGGAAGCCACATGTCAGCCCCTGGTGTATACTGGTGTACCCACCCAAAAAATGGCGGCCTTGCACTTGGTAGGCCTCATTCTGGGGATGCGATTCAGTTTATGGGTATGGCGATTCCACAAAAAAAATTCGCACCAACCTTGCCCGAAGTGTTATTACCTCGACAACCTTTCCTTGCTTGGCACGGTCAACGTTGTCTTGCTTGTTACACCTCTAAGGGCGAGCAGCTACATTTATGTAAGAGTAGCTGCCACCATCCCCTTCGGCCAGCGTCTTTGTGATCGCTAGCTATACCCGACCGTGCCTAGATAAATCTTGATTCATGAAGCCACAGCGCGCAACGGAGCTTCCGGATAATCGGTCGCAGACCCCAACCCCTTGCTTCCGGCATCCAGATCACTTCCCCGACTGCAAATTACGACCCATAGAGTCCACGATGGCCCCGCAGGACCGCAACCCGATACCCTTGCTGCTACAGCGCTTATTCTTCCATATTTTAGTGACACTTCACCTAAGCAACGGACGTCTTTTCGAGACAAGATATTTAGGCCATTCCGGAGAAGCCCCAGTCCCAGTCCCGGTCCCGGTCCCGGTCCTAGCCCCGATCCCAATCGTCTCAGCCAACCAAGTGCATTCCATTCCAAATGTCATATGTTGACCCCACGATCTACGGTCATCGCTACCCGTTCCTCCCCACCGAACTGAATACCGATTTCCCGCGAGTGAGGTCCAACGCACTCACCGCCGGTGATGATGATGCGAGCGTCCGCACGCAGCAAGAACCTGCAGATATCGGGCTGTCAGTCTCAGCTACTCTATCGGTGCCAGCGGAATCGACACCTCATAGATCCGACGGCGATCATCGGCAGCACCAAAGCATTTCTTCAAATAGGGGCCACTGCTCTCAAACTCGTCCCCATCGCCAAACTCCAAACCAAACTCCAAACACTCCCTGGCATGGATTAAAACAGGTTTGCGAATCGTCTTAATGACCATGATCGTGGTCGCTTCTCATGCTTGTGCATGCATGTATAATGCCAGCGGCAACACAAAGGGACTCAACCAGTTGTGCGATGTGATTCAGAAAGCACAAGGCTCGGTGCTTGAGCCCCTTCGGACCTGGACTGGAGAAATTCGCTGCGAACATAAAGGTCTAGCGCAATGCACACGTCTCGTCTTCTCTTCGTTCACTCTCTTCATAGGGTTTTGAAAACACATTGAATTAGTTCAGTAAGGAAATATCGTCGAGATCATTCGAGTGTCCGACATAGCGCAGCAAATAACGAATACGAAGAACTGCCTGCGTGGTGCTATCGATTCGACGTTTGAAATGTTTCGGATGATCGGATCCTGACTCACCATGTTCGTCACAGCTGAGACCTACAGAGCATTTATCTGTTTGTACGTGGCTAAATACATGCATTTGGATCCCCTAATTTTTTTTTTGCTTCTGGCCGAGCTATCGAGACTCCAGCGAGCCCCGGCCGAGCACACTTGCGTGAAGAACAAATCTAAGTGTCTTCCGGACATACGGGGCGAGATGCAAGAATCTTTGCTCAAGCGCTCGAACAAAGCCGAAACCGGTTTGTTTGGTTAAGGGGTTTCCTGGAAGCAATCTGGGTGTCGCATTCACTCTGAAGGAACAGGGTACTCTGGCAGCGCCATTCTTTTGGAATAAGAATCAGCCAGGATCAGGGCTGGATCTATCAAATAGTTCCCCTCTACCGTTGCCCACCAACTTGCATCCTTCAACGAGGACTTTAAATTGCCACTCGTCAGACACCTCCGGAAACCGGATTTGGCTTCAGTTCAGAATTTTCCTTTGGAGAAACAAATGAAGGCTCGATGATTGAGCCAATGCAGGGTCTGGTGAACACGGTAAGGTCATCATCCCTGATTAGTGCGGAAATCAGGAGGCACTCGAGTCCTCCCGCCAGCATTTGCTGTGCTAGTTAGTTGTCGTCCCGAGCCAGGAATCATTTCAGCTTGGCCTAAAGCTCGAGCTGAGTCATTCCATACCACGCAGTGCGGCGTATGGTAGGGGAAGACCCCCAAGTTCCATGCCCTTCATTATCCATTGGTCGAAGGTGTAAGGGAATCCCCACAGGCCCGCTTTTTTGATGTACGATAGCGCCTGCCAGGCTTCGTTCATAGGGTACATGCCGTCGTCAATGTGCTGTTTCCGGGGTGTCTGTCTAGTGTTCTGCTGGCTATGTTCAGCTGATCGTACTGGTCCGGGTTCTGTGGACGAGTCAAGGCGGCTCTCAGCAGACGCTACAGCAGTGGGTGCAGTCTTAGTTCCGGGGCCCAACTTCCCTTGGTCTGGTACTTCGCTCTGTCCAGGTAGATAAGGGACGTTTTAACCTGTTCACTGCAGGAAAAACACCTTCAGGATCGACCCTTGCCACTTCGAGTGTACTCGTCCTGTAACCCATCCTGTATCCATGTATAATAATAGGCGGACTGCTGCACATGTGTGTGGCAGATCCCAGTGTATAAGATTCATTCACGTTCGGTGGGTTAACCTTGACATCCGCAACAGGTGGATGCGAAACGGATGGAGCCGAAAGATTCCAGGGAAACCACGTGTAATAACTTTACCAGTAGTATCAGACTTAGATGGTAGATGCGGGCTAATACTACCCCGACAACGTTTCTTTGCTTCGATGGGAAGGAAGGTCTTACTGTACTGACCCGAACTTCTACCAGCCTCTATTGGAATAGGTAGACTGCCCTGCATTTTCCCGCAACTATTGTGCTCACGTTGCATCGCAGCAACCTGCACAGCACGGCCGACACCAGGCGAAAACACATTCTGAAGAAACTGTGTACATAGAGGATGTGCGGTTAGTAGAGATGCATAGAAAAAAGGAAATGTAAATAATAGTGTAGGACAAATGCCTTGTTTTACGTTGCTCTGTTGATAAAATTCGCACTCGCAGGAACAGTGGCAGAAAGCCAAAATAAAAACTGCAGCACTCAAGATTCCCTCACCATGCATAGTACTGACTGAGCGGTGCTCCCCTTAACTTCCCAGACCAGACGGGATACGATGCTTTCCGAATCCTACGGCCGCAGACGGTAAGCCCTCTGATGAATATCTACACCACTCGAGGGTTGACGGGCAATAAGTAGTTGGGTAGTTGGATTGAAAAACATGTACATATGGATCATGGGCATGGCCGTCCTGTCATTAATGGGTAACGTGTCACCTCTCCGCGGTCAGCTCAGATGAAAAAGAGTTAGAGTTCAAACGGAGACGGGGATTCCAATTGAGGCAGGGAGAGAGAACGGTGTCGCATTAAATAAAGGTTATCATTCTGCTGACACAAGTGCTCGTCACCAACATTGATACGGTGTAGGAGAAATAACGGTCACACTATGGAAACCCATTATGGAAATATGCCAGATAAATCAAAAAACCTCATATGACAAGTAGATATGAGAAAATAGAAGGGCCTGAATTTTAATGAATTTTTACGAATTATTATGACTATACGCAATAAATCGAAAGAAAGAAAATTAGCAAAAATATTTCAAGCTTAGCATCAACGAGACGGAATTCTCGGGGGAATTTATAGCAAATATTAAACAAAGAATTAGGACAATCGACCAAGATTTGACTATAAAAACAATCAGAGAACCTCCACGGAAGCTACTTTCCCACATCTGCACACATAGCCAAGGATGGAAGTACCATGGAACAAGGATTCCTCAGGAACTAATGCAAAATTCAAAGTCGTGTTTATAATAGGAAATGTAGATGTCCCCCAAACGGACCCAATGAAAGTAATTACAGGGGAAACTACCCATAAACGACGGAGATATGACTAAAACTCCTGCAAAACGAGGACAACGTCTAAAAGGCAAGCGCGAAGATTAACCAGTAACGACCGAGACAAGCTTGATAGCCCATTAAAAAGGAAGGGATCTAATCTTAATCCTCCCAAATTTTCATAATAAAAGGATCATGCATTAATGAGATATCCAATAACGGGAATAGCGACATCAAAAGTCCAAGCTCAGGGAAAAGACGATGTTTGCGTAGGATCCACAATTAAAACATACAACGAAATTTACACGGAAATTATGAAAAATGGGGAGCTATAGTTATGCAACTTTTCAGCCCAAACGATCCAGCCGTTGTGAAGTTATACCCATGACGGGAATATAGAAATCCGCATCATGTTTAATGACACATGAGGGTGGCGATGCGAAGGGAACTGGCCGTCGGAACCAAGATCCGCATTTCGGCAGATCGTGAAGACCAATTTCTGTCCAAATAAGGAAGAGCCCGGTCAAAACAAAGCACGGAAAGTGCAAAACAACCTTAGATCATGAGGGAAAAATCTGAAATAAATCACAGAAGCCCATATGAAAGATATAAACACCTGCGCATATCATAAATCCCGAACAATTAAACGGAAACAGCGCCCGCATACGAACGACTATGGGAACGATGCACGTGATTACCGAATGTGCGTGCGAACTTTTGCTAACTCAACGAATACCAGGAAATAGAACACAACTTTAGTACCATTGGAAAGGTGGGAATAAATGAAAATTTATGATACCAAGAACGTGAGAAAACATCCAGAAATGAATGAGATACAAGGACATGAAGTTAGAAACCTGAAAACGCGCGGGAAGACAGCTTCAAGAGGTCCAGAGCCCTAAATAAAATGCATAAAAATATGATATCTTCGAGGACGACCTACTATAACAATGAACAATACATATGGAGGATTAGGATGTGATAATACAAAGGGGAATCAGGGAATATGAACGAAATTCACGAAAACCACTAAACTACGACGGACCATGGCGAGAATTTTAGGGAACGATATTCTAATGAAGTGGAGAGCTATAACACATTCGTTTGAGTAATTCTTGACTACTAGCAACTTTTTCTTTCGGTTTTAAACCTGAATAATTCACTCATTTACCATTTCAGTCTCATTTTAACTAAATGTCACTAAATAAAAATGGAATAAATCAGCTGAAGGTCTCAGCACAGCCATACGCATAGTAATGCGAAGTTTGAATTCAGAATCACCGAGTCATAGCACTTTTAATGGTATATATATGGAATTTGAAATAGGTAACTGCAACAAATGCAGTGCAGCCAAGTTCTAATTAACCATTAAAATAGCTTAGGTGAGGGAGGACAATAAGGATTCTAGGCGCAGTCTGACCGCCGTAGAACTGCAGTTCAGCGCAGCAAAAGCGCAGTAGAACTATAGCATGAGAATTTCATTTTTTATTCAGTTTGAGAAAAATACACTGTAAATAAATCCTGTAAATAGAAGGTAGAGCGTGAAAAAGGAAGGCGACCCAAGGAGTATAAAAGGGAGACCCTTTCTGCGACTTTTTGCCCCCTTAGAGAAGTAAGAAAATAGAGTATTATTTTTCTCAAGCATTTCTGGTTGTCACTCCAGTGCGAAAAAGTGATATACAGTTAAGATTGCCACTGTAGTAAAAGGCAGCAATTAAGGAGAGAAATATTAAGTAGATATTTCAACAGGAGAGCTGGTTAACACTCCAGATTTCAAAAGTGTAAACACAAAACAGTTATCTTGCTACTGTTAAAACAAGCAATAAAATAAGACAAAAATAAAACAAACTCAAGGGACACTCCAGACACAATCCAAATCCATTAACTGAATAGAATCTTTGAAACTTCACCAAGTAGAAGATTTAATTCAAGTTAAATTCCAAATTAAACAACGCTACACAGAATTACACCTAGACAAATTAAGAAATTTCAATAAAGAAACGGCTCCGCAGGGCTCGGTTTATCTGTAAATCAATTCCCAGGAACTTTAAAACTAACCCATAAAAATAGAATTAGCCAAAACACTCGGATTGGTACTATATTTACAATAAATAATACTAGTACACTTCCCCATCCTAACTAAAGAACCAGGGAACAGCTTGGTGGTGGTCTCGTTTGAACCTCCCAACTGACCTTCCTTCGTTCTCTCCTTCAATGGATACAGATATAGATGTGGGCAGATCCTCGTGAGCGGGTCAATAGGATGGGGAATACCCACCATGTTGTGTGCTTCTCGAGCTCAAGTTGGAGCAACATCGTGTCAACAACCTCAATAAACTGCAGAACCCTTCCAATCACATGAAAAATTCAACACCGACAAGCAATGTTGGACAAGCGCTTACGCTTTGACCGACCATCGAGCAAAGGGCCAAACCATTGAACACCTATGGGCCAGCTGACCCCATTTAATGCGTGCCACTCTGTTTCGAGTGTGAGGACGAAGAATAATCTGGGCTTTGACGATAGTCTGTTCACCACTGTACCGCATGTGTTGTAAACAGCGGCGATCGATGTGGAGACGGAAACAAAATAGGAAGGTCGATACGAACCATAAAGTCACCTCCCCAGTCAACATATGCTGGAGGTGCTTAACTTTCTATTCCAATAGAGGCTGGTGACCTGCCTGTCATATCCATCCCCGGCCATTGACTTCCAATCCCTCCGATTCCTCTGGTCTACCTCCGCTCCTTCTTCACTAACCTCAGAGCTCCTGTATTCCGCAATCCCCTCGGTACCCCTCGATGGTCACCACCCCTCCTTTCAATTTATTACCTATGCCTCCCTAAGTACGGAGCCCCAAAGGCTTCCAGACAGCTCTGACGTCCACTAGCGCACCCCCGCCTCCGCTGGGCAATACACTCGCTTGCCCTGCAAAGCCCACCTTCGGGCCTATCCCTCCTTTCCGTTTCTGGGTTATTGCCTACCTTTCCGTTAACCCCGTAACCCGACTCATCGGTAATATTCAATCAGCTAATGTCTAACCCCGTTAGCTCGGCTCAGCTTGGCTCCGCCATTTGCGGACCCGCCCTCATTGTAACTATATATATACTCAACTTGTACATAGGTTACACCTCAGTAATAAAATTGACTAGAGTTTATCCCCCTTCAGTTCTGGTTGCTGTCATATCCATACAATCCCGACCTCCGCTCCGGGCTCCCGGAACTCCGAACCTGACTTCCGGAGTCCTACTTCCCTTCTGTCACCTTCTCCTTGCCGACTCCCAAGAGGTTATCCCACCTCCGGCTCCAACACCACCTTCGGTCCGACTCCGGAACATTCTGGGTCCGACCTCAACCTCGACACCTCCCAGATGAGCACGCAACACCTATGCTCCTGACTCTGGACCTCTGCTCCGGAATCCCGTTTCACGTCTCTGTCTCCGGAACCTCCGGTCTTAGCTCCGACCTCGGACTTTGACCCCACCTCCGCTTATACCCATTGTATTGGTTAGCTCATTCCATTTAATTATGTTTGCCAATATTCCGGAGTTTAACTTCTGAGTTCGGACTTTCCGGACTTATGTATGTCGGACCTTGCAACTATTGCATTGCTCCATTCAATTCCGCTATTCTCCCTCATTCCTATTTGGGCTGCTGCTTCCTTTCTATTCAGTCAGCTGGCCATTCCCCACTCCCATCCTCCATCCTTCCTCCTTGGGTCTTGGCCCTCCACTCCTCCTTTGGGAAACACCATTGAGTCAAACCCTTGACCCTCGGTGTTGTTCCTCTTTCCAGCTCCCTTTGTCTCCTTTCAGAGTACCCTCGCTCCTTTTGATTCCGGACCCCTCCTTATATACAATGTACATAGTAACTTGTAACCTCAGTCCAAAATCGACCTGAATTCCCCCAAGAGACTTTCCCTCTGCTAGATCCGAAATTAGGGACCCCCAGGACAACCAGCAATGGCACAGTGCTCCACCTGAGTCACTGAGGCCGAGGTCCTTCCATGCTAAGTCTCCGATTCCACTCCAGAGTCGTC